AAAATCAGACTGTACAACCAATAGCAGACTGTATCTGTCAAGAAATTCTCCCCTGGGAACTGACCTTTCTTTTGTTTGTGTCTCTCCTCGTGTCTCCTCACAGATGGATGGAAGTGATCCGAAGTGCCACCAGCTCTGCCTCACGCACTCGAGCTCTGAGTCACAAAGAGCCTCACGCCTATTGACGGCTGAACAAGCCGCTGTGTTGATTGTCCAGCAGCTGCTGATTTTCTAGAGGACAATTGAAACTCTTTTTTCTCCCTCCAAGTTTAAGAAAACTTACACTTTGGTAAAAGAAGAGAATAAGTATGGTTTTGCAGAAACTGTCACAATTCCTCAGCAAAACTGTTTAAGTTCTCCATATAAACAAACTAGCTTACCACCATCCCAGTGGCTGCGGTTCATTTAATGTCTTGTATTTTGTCATTCTGTGCTGTTTTTAGCTTGTGCCAGTATTAAAATATTGTCCTTATTAGGGTGCCAAATGCCAAAAGATGTTTTGTTGCCTCAAAGATTGCACCTAAAAGAACTCCCAGATGACTGAAATCTGAAAACTTTCTCCTCTGAGGCAAACACTATTTTCTTCTCTTTTCATAAAAATATATTATTTTTTTTTACCATGTTAATCTGTAGACTGCTGGGCTTTTAAATGTAGATGGATTTTCACAGTATAGAATATAATTATATATACAGCAAGCAGTCTAACAGGAATGAGATAACTTTCAGATTTCATGCTTTTTTCCACCAGTCTTTCTACATTTAATCAGCAACGATTTACTAATTTTCTATGTTTAACAAGGAAACAGTTGACATTCTCATTTCCCTTTGGGGTCACAAATTCATGTGGTATAAATAAAGTATAGAGTTCTTACCTAACCATTTTTTTGGTGCAAGTTGACCAAATTGTTCATCTGTTGGCTTTGAAAAGTGAGTACTACTTGCAAGACAAAAAATTTTTAAAACAATCCAGTGCAATATTATTTGGGCTGTTAATGTACTGTGAATGGTTATGTACAAGAAGAAATTAAAGGCTGTGGTGACATTCTGCTGTTTGTTTTACAAACTTGAAAGAAAACCTGTATGCTACAAGAACCGCAGCTATTTGTGATTCATTTGCAGTGTTTTGGTAACTAAATTGCTCTAAGCTGGGGGGTACTAGCCCCAAGTTTTCATCCTGCTTGCTAGCCATCCCAAATTGACTTCCAGTTTATTGTTGGAATTTCAGTCTCTCCCTCTCTCCCCTCGGGCTCAGGCAGACAGAGAGCGACTTAGACAACCTGCAGCAGAATTACCCATTTTGAATGCCTAGCTTTAACATCAGCTGGCACCGCATTTTGGATAAGCTGGTGGTGTGCTGAGAAGGTTGGCAGCACTGTATCTGCAAGGCTTGGATGATTTCCCCCATGTTTTAAGAAACATTGTCACTAGGGAGATATAAAACTTCCACTGGCAGAAGTCTGATGTGCTGGTAACACCCATCACCATTACAGTTCTTGGAGGAAGCACGGTGCTAAGCAGAGGGGGCCTGAAGGTCAGTCTGGGAAACGAAGCCGGGGAAGTTCTATCCCTGCTTTTTCTTCATCCAGCTACTTGCTTTGTTAATGGCTTGTCTGTGTGCGATGTGTAAAATGGCTTCTTACAGCTTTGCTCACAACAAAAGGGAATAAAATACCTCACACCACCACTGTACATATGCCTGTTTTGCCAGTAAAGTGTTCTTTCTGTTACCCCCAACCCCAGACATACCTCTGTAGAAGATGAGATGGGTTCCAAACCCCTTAGGAAAAGCAGCAGTCCCCATGGCCAAATGCAAGCACACCCTGACAAAGGGAAACTTTTCAGAGCATTTCCTTCAGCTGCATGGAGACCATCAGCCCTCTGGGCAGGTAGAGTGCTGCAGTTGCTCTTTTCCTCAGCTAATGCCCCTGTGTCGATGTACCAGTGCAATAATCACACCTAACCTCAAGCATTGGCTCTGGCTAGGATGTGCTGAAGGACAAACTCAGAAAGTAGGTAGGAAAATCTGAAGCCCGTTTTCTCAGCTGCAGGTCCCACTGCCTTGTCCATTCCAAGCCTGTGACCCTACCCTGTAGTAACATACAGGAATTCCAGTGCTTCAGGACTGACCAGGAATGCGAAGCAATGATCTGCATAGTGAGGAGAAGAGGAAATAACACAGCAGCCTTACTGGTTTGGGAAAACAATGCTGAAAAAGCAACAGCACTTGATGTTGCTATGAAGTAAAATGCTGCAGACCTGATCCTGCCAAAAATCACTATTATTGAGTGGTAAAATAGTACTTTACAAGCCAGGGCCCTGCCTCTTCCCTTTAGAATTGTTATCTATAACAGTGAAAAGCTTTTTTTTTAATGGAAATTACATTGAGGGCCATGCCCTTAATTCAGTCAAAACTGAATTTTTATTTAGAACCCTGGGGCTTGTTGGATAAAATGTTAATTAACTGGAATCTGCTGGAGTAGTTTATTCTGAGCTCTCCAAAGAAATCAAGTAACATCTTTTCTCATTAAGTTTCATTTTTACACAAAGTGAATTTGGAAAATAAAGCAAAGACCAAAATATGGTGATAGTTATTGTTAATGACAGAGACTAAGTTAGGCTGTAGGTGCAACTTTCAGAATACCCACCTAATCACCATTTTCACCTTTTTGTATTATTTTTCTGATTAAAAAAAAAGGTTTAACATAAGATTTTTTTTCTTCACTACTAGTGTGATTTTTAATTTCTTTTTAAAATGGAACCATTTGAACTACTGTCATCTGTCAGCATTTTTCTATGTGTCTATTCCCAGGGTTAACCCAAAACTGAAATGATAGTAAGAGAGTAAAATCAATTGTCTTGATGCTCATATCTTGGATACAGGCGGAGTCCACATGTGTGAATAAAACTCAATGTACTAGAAAACTCGTATGTACAACTGTACAACCACTTATTTTTAACTCTGATTCACATCATATCACTGCCTGTTCAGCGAAGCACGGCCTGCAGAGAGGCAGGGTCACTGTGTGCCAGGTCAGGAGCTATCACTAAACGCATCTTTCTCAGCTCCAGGAAAACCTCAGAGGAAGCACTCCAGGAGATTTGCTGCTGGTGTTGTTGTTACTCACCATGAAATAGCTGCCAGTTTCCAATAATGGAAAAATAAAACAAAACAGGCACTTCATTGCCTCAGGAGGTTGCACCACAGGCAAAGGGATCAAAAAAGCCTGGACTCCTGTGGTTTTTTTCAACAAGATTAAGCATCTCCAGCATTTATCTGCTGTCTAATTTAACCTCTGTTAAGATGTGTTTGATAATACACCTCAAACCTACCTCTTTTCAGAACATTTTATTTTAACAACACTGACACCTTAATGCCTTTGTAAATTCAGCTGAAACCAGACAAAAATGACAGACTGAAAGACGAGTCAGCAGGTAAGGGAAAACATGCTGTGATTGCAGAAATCTTGATAACAGTCTCTGACTAAGGAGGAAGAAAAATTCATTTTAGAGACAAAATTGGGCGTAACAGCCTGTCATTCCATCAGCCAAGAACAAGAAAGAGGATCAAGAAAGACCTGCAAAGCCCAATTTTGCCCATTCTTTCTTTCTATACAGGACCAATTACATGGTCCTAGCCCTCAAAAGCACAGTTACCTATGTGCAGGCAGATGCACAACTCCAGCTGCTCCAGCACATGGACACTGCCTCTGCACTGGGGGCACAGGAAAGATGGTAGGGGACAAAATAATGGGCCATGTGCTACACATTCGGTTTTTAGCAGCAGAAAGCTAATGAAGTACAACTACAGGAGTGCAGCTGTCACACAGTCTGTCACCAGGTAAAGATGCAATCCATGGGGGGATGAGCAAATGTAGTTTGTTATGAGCACTTCATCAGTTTCATTGGGCTAGCAGGTGGAGGCTACAAGGTGGGTTTTAAATTACTGCCATCTGCAAATGCTACAAATTCTGAGCTGATTGCCATTAAAAACCCAACACTTAAATAACCTTTCTGCATATCATTACTGACACATGGGCAATAACTGCTCTAGAAGCCCACAGAGCATCCCCTTCAGGGAAGGGGCCCTGAATCTCATCTCATCTCACTGACCACTCAGGTGGCAACATTTCATGAAACTTTCCTTCTTTATTTCTAGGTCATGTAGTTTACAAGGAGGTTTACTGTGTTAGTGTAGAGTGACAAAAGTAAAATTTAAATACACATTTATAAACAGGCAGCAGCGTTACAGAAAACAAGACACACACTTTCATGTGTAATCACGCATTAAAGACAGCAGGAAACCCTTGCATACGATTTGTCCATGGCATGTGCTCAGCACATCTGCATAATGCATTTAAAAAGAGGAAACACATTTGTGCTATACTTTCAGCTCCTCCCCAGCAGCCTACAAAACTGATTTGCAATTGTCTGGATCCTTGCAGGATACCTATGCTTATCAGCACTCTGAATAATCTTCCAGTGGTGACATTTTTGTAAGCAAAACACATTTCCTTCAAAGTCAGGTTACTGTAAAACTACTACAAACTGGTACCACACAGTTTAAAAAGCTATACAGAACATCACACAAAGTAGTGAGAGCTAAGGAAGACATTGCCCAACTACATTAAAAGCACACTAAAAGGCAGATGATGGGGTGACAGGGTACAGGAGGATGGGAACTCACACTGAGCCAGCTGCTTTGCAGTGAGGTGCCAACACACCCAGCCTCACCTTCCCCCTCCACCCACCCCTCTTGCACAGCAGGGGCAGAACACCCCAGTTAGGGCATTCCACAAAAATCAGTTTATCTTCTGTTTCCACAAGCTCACCCAACAATGATGGAGCCGCAAAGGAACCGTGGCAGAGTGAAGTTACTGCTTTGTTCTGTGTTCTGTGCCCTACCACATCATCCTTCAGTAAACTGGTCAGCAACTACAAAGTGCAACTGCAGGGAAATTTAAGGTAAAAAAATAGATCTGAGAGTTACAAAAAAGCAAGCCTTCAGTTCAAATAACTGATTTTATTGGTTTTAAACAGTGAGTTTATTTACTGCCTAATCATGAAATCCCTGACAAATAAGCAGTTCTACTAATTTAAAGGTTTGCATAAATAGGGATAACTTGTCATTTAGTATAGTCAAGACTAATGAAGTACTACCTGCACAGAAAAATCATCAGTGCAACATCATAACACAGACATGTTTTAAGCATGAAAAAATCTCTCAAAAATATCAATACACTTCTTTTCCTCTGAAAAACTGAAGCGATGCTTCTTTCAAATGAAGCTCCTCTTCTGTTACCAATATAGACCTGATTTTTAAAGCATCAATACTTTTAAATAGCAAATGATTGTACTTCTACATTCAAGATACAGCACGCTTTTTTTTTCAGTGAATCTCAGTTTAAGATAGTCTATATTTAAATAATCTGTATATTACATATAAAAATACACATCTCTACCATAAATGAGGTCTTGTCTTCTTCGAAATGCCCAAGCCTTTTGGCCACCTGCCCTCACCACAAGTCTTACTCATCTTAAGCTCTGACACATTCAAGCCAATTCTGCCACTATCTGCTCAGAGAGGACTTCCTCTACAGTTCTGGAACACAACTAAAATGCAACTCAAATCATATCTATAACTTTTCAAATTAGTGTTCAAAGAGTGTACCTTAAAATTTTATTCAACTTGCTGATTGATAAATTCTTGACAATGAAGGCAGCAGCATAAGTTTAACTTCCCCACTAAGTCTCAGAGTTCAGTGCATCTCCAAGCTCACTTTAATTTCCAGTCTGTACATTAACAGATGACTAGGGTATAGCTTACACGGATCTATTTCCGATGCAAACATACCTGTTGATTTCCTTGTACAGTCACAGCACAGGGATCTACTGAAAGCTGAATGTTCTCATATTGAGACATCAACAGGTAGATTTCCCACTGCACTGCATTCTGATGCCCATTTCACAAAAGCAGTGTGAAATTTGTTTCCTCAGAAGTGAGCCTATCCATAACACTTAAGAGCACACTAAACAACATAATTAAAAATACTAATCAAAGTGGAGTTGTAAAACATTGCTCAAATTTTAGCACTGTTCGATTTGTTTTCAATTCCCTTAGCCATAAAGGAAACCAATTACCTCATTAGGTTGGCAAATGAATAGTGCCTGAAAGCACAGTCACAAGATGAACACACACCCACATTTCTTCCAACTGTTGTTTCAACCTGGGCAGAAGTTTATTAGCTCTGTTAGCAAGACAGTGTCCTCTTACTGTTAAATTCTTAAATTAATAAATTAAGGCTATCAATATGCATAGACTAAGGGCTACCATGGTGATAGAAATCCTGGAAGGAGACCTCACCAGCTTCCACAACGGTTAGAGTACCTGGGTTTCTTGTACCAAGCCAGGAAGATATGCCTGTATTTTAAATGTTAATCCTTTCTGTTCCAAAGTTCCCACCTATATTTTTTTAAAAAAGTAAATATGTAAGTTACCTCACAGTCATGCAAAGCATAAAGCCATCATTTTCTTCATTAGAAGAAGGTTAAAATGTTCTCTTAGCTACTGGAATAAGAAGAACCTGAATATAGTCTTGGTGAAACCAACCAAGGTAAACCTCAGAGTAATACTGCGGGGAAAAAAAAAATAGTAGTTATATAATCAACTGTGCATATAACTAATGAACTAGTATTACTGTTTCCAAGATCTATAACACCTGAAGTCAGCTATCTAAAAGCCCTCACAGGAATAGTGGAAATTTTAAAATTCAGAATTTCAAGAAGTAACTTTTCTCTGGAGAGGCAAGCAGCAGGACCCAGCACACAGCACTCAGGCTGTTTCACAGTCTCTCTGTCCAACATCTAGCAGTTTTGGCAGAGATGCACAGATCGAGGCAGCGAGACCGAATATTGAATCTATGGATAATTTTTCTTTTATGCTGAAAGACATTTGTTTTAATGATAAAAATAGGCATGATAAAGAAATACTTGCCACTGTCTCAGAATCTACACCTTAAGGAGATATTTCAGAATAAATGAAGGGAATAAAGATTTCTGTCAGCATTTATACAAGTTCAGGTGAAAAAAGACTGTGTCTGAATCTCACAAGCTTCACAAATATCTGTTACTAAAACTGAACTATTTCAGAATTTGCATTGGCACATTTTGAAACTGAAGATATGAAAGAACTCATTCTCTAGGAAAAACAGTAATTTAAATTTAAAGCTTTGAGAGGCCAGGTGTATGAAACTTAAAACAACTAGAAGTAGTACCATAAATAGAAAGTGATGCTCAGAATATAAGTAAAAAGAAAGAAATGCTAAAGAAACAGAATAAAATTGTGCCTGTGCTGAGGTACAAATAGAAGGTTCTATAATACAGGATTAACTCTTTCAATGGCAAATACTTCACATATAAAAATCTAACCGAGATTCACTTATCACATAATTCAAACTTTACATGTAATAAAAGGCAAGGCAATACTCAGTTGTGGCCTGTCAAATGTTTACCCCACTAACATTCTCTACAAAAGCACTTTACCATTTTGTACACAGTGATTCCTTATGCACATTGAAAGGCTTTCTCTTAAAAAAGACATTATATACATATCTGTACACAATTCCAACAACCATGCTCCATCTCCCAGTGGAATTCTTAAAGCAAGATACCTGAGGTTTCTCAATATCTTCAATTTCTCTATCATAAACCTAAATATACATTTCAGATTTTACAAAAGGACACCTCCTTGGAATATGTGCATTATCATTTTAAAAAAATTATAGCTTTAAGGAGCTGAAAAAGATTGCCTCCATCCAAGAGACTTCATTTTCACTCTTAGGAATGTCCTTCCTCCCAAGGACTTTCAGAGACTGAGAGGCAGAACAGCATTACAGTAAATGCTTTCCATGCAGACACCATGGGATCTCTGCTGTCTTGGGAAAGCCAGGAACAAAGAGTATGTCAGTAGGATGAAGAACTTCCTCCAGCAAGGGAGTATCTGAAAGGGAAAAGAAATAGTTATTGTTGCAACTTATAGAAAGGCATTCTACAAGAAGCAGCAATGAAGTGATTTCATTTTATGCTGCTGCAGTTCTAGCCCTTTTCCTTGCACAGTGGCACTCACCACTGCCACCACATCTTAAAGGAAGAGCCATAGAACTGAACAACTCTGTTAGAGTATCACTGCCTTCCTAACAAACAGCAACAACCTGTGCTCAAATGTGTTACTGAGCAGCACTTAATGAAGAAAACATTTAGTGACCCCAACTTTCCTACTGTGCAAGCTTACATCAAATCTTTTCAAATTATTACTGGGCCAGGACAACATTATCTCTTGTTTTAAGCATATTCTTAAATCATCCAAAGAAATAAGCACACCTTTTAATCAGATTAAGTTTCCAGTAAACTTCACCAAACATCCAAAATCAAAACTGGAGGGGGAAGGTAAATGGATTCATGCACATCACTGGGCAGCTATTCTGAGGGTCTCAGTTAATTCATTCAGACAAGCTTACAAAATCCAGTTCTAACCAATGATAAGAGGGAATGAAAACATAATCAGAAACTTGTTGTTGAAAACCTGTCTTCAGTAATTAGCTACCAAATTGAGAGGGTATTATACTGAATGACCTAATGATGTAATAAAGCATACTTCTTGTAGCACCCAAACAAGAAGGAATTATTTTTTCAGAATTTGACTAGCTCCAAAAAACAGCTTTATCCCCAAGGGAAACCTACTCAGCTATGTAATGAATCAATCTCATTTTAGTGGGAGTTCTTGCTATTCATTCTTTCACTCCCTTTCTGGAGTCATTATCCCATACTAGCTGGAATATCATCCCTGAAAAAAAAAGTTCACCCATATGTGATTCACTGACAAGCATTCTCTATGAATAATTCTTTCTCTCCTAGAAGGAGAATGGAGTGCTTGCCTTCACTGCTCTAAGGCATTATGAGGAAGAAAAACAGTAACAGTCCAAGGAAGCAGAACAGAAGGAAAGCAATGCTAAATAGATATACAAAGAGTTCTGAAATCTTTCTCGCAGGACAACAATTATGAATATTGCTGTCAGAACAAGTGTATCACTTCCAGCCTGCCCAAAAATGCCCACAATTGGGCACTGTCTCCACATGGCCATTTGCAGCATCAAGTCTTTGAGGTTTCCAGTTCCAGGAAGATCTCATACCAGACTGATAAAAATACGGCACTGAAATATTAGCTGATGAAAGACTGGATTCAATTTTGGAACCCCTAATGGAAAAAACCGAGATGGAAGCTCCAGCAACTCTTTCAAGTCTGCCAGGACCAAATGAGACAGGACAGGACATCTGGCATTAGAAGTAACCTTTCAGCACTAGAGATGCTGACTGGGCTTCTTTCTTAACAGCCCATAAAGCAACAAACATGAATTGCTTGCAAATTTCTTGGCATTGGTTTTTACTGAAGGAGAAAGTGTCAGCCTGGTAATTCTGTGCTTCAACCTCAAAGCTGTGAATTCCTAAACTTTACCAAGATGTGGTTAGAGACAGTGTAAGGAAGACACCTGCTCAGGGTGATCTTCTTCCATGTGGTGGTCCATGATTAATCATTGACATGAGTTTTTTTCTAGTACCAAGCAATCCAATCTGGCTGCTGTGAGTTTCATAACAGCTGTGGGCTCCAAGATAAAATGTTGCATTTATAGCATCCCTCAGGACCTATTCTGAAATTTATACCTCTAATATTTTCTTGTGCAGCATTTAAAGGAACAGAAAATTGATTATTTATTCCTAATATATTCCTAAGGAAGGCAGTTAGAAAATCTCATGAAATTTGGCCTTTTGAAGTAAGACCAAATATTGGTTTTGGAGGTGTCACTCAAAGGCCATACAAACTGTCTTTAATGAATGAATAAGGAACCACTGACTATGTGAGGGAGGGAAACACAGACCACCTGAAAAGTCAATTTATCCATGTGGGTAAAAGAAACTAAGAGTGACACAGAGTGTTCTCTGCAACACACACCCAGACACCAAGGAAATGTGTGTCCCTTACAGGAACTGCAAAGGGAAAAGCCCGTCCAGTCTCATTTGACACACAATATGCACACCAATAGGATGAACATACATATATGCTATCACCTGAAGCTAGAAATTAGAACTGCTGATACAATTAAGTGTTTTTCCAGTAAGCAGACAGAATTGCACAAACTGTAGGCACAGGTGGTTTTCTTCTCCATTAGAAACAAAAATTAATTATTTCAATTCAACATAAGCCAAAAATTTATAGAATCAGATCTGAAGCTTTCCGTAAGCCATACTGAAATAGTTTCATTACCTCTGAAGCCTCTGAACAAGGTTTGACACCATGGTATCTGCAATGCCTGGACAAGCCTCTTCAGCTAAATAAACTGCCTTCCTCAGTTCTTCTATGGAATCTGTGTTACCACCACACACCTCACTCTTCTCTTTCAACTGAAAGGAAACCAGGAAGAAATATATCAATAAGATATTAATAAATATTTCTATACACAATATAATGCAGAAGCTTGTTAGGAAGTGACTATCAGTGTTCACAATGTTAGCATTTGACTTTCATCATACACCCTCACACACTGAAAACTTTTTTCAAGCAGAAGTTTGTCTTTACAGTACTTATCAGGATGTCATTCATCTTCACACATATTCAATCAAAAAGCAGTATTTAACTGTAGCTCTTTGGTCTCAAGATGTGGTTCCTATACTTTAGTATCCATACTTGCACACCTATAGTTTACACATATACACTGCAGTAATTTTATCAACTTTTAAAAATAATCATATCTTTATAAATTCTTCTCTTATTCTTCATATATTCTTTTTCAAAGTTGTTTTTAAGTATTTGGGGAGAGAGTATAAAAATATAAAACTCAGAATGGGAACAAAATACACCTTTCATCACTGAAATTCAAAAGTAAAACTCTTGATGATCTGGTCCACAACTGTATCTTGGAACAGTGAAGAGCTTGAAATTTGTAGTAAGATAAATACATAAAGTAGTGTCAAAAATAGAATGCTGCAACCCAAACCCAAACTTTTACCCAAACATGACCTTTTTTTAGTCATGCTCATTGCTTTAGGCCAGCATGGCTGATGTTACTACCATGCATATCAAGTAATGTTAGGAGTAAAATACAGATCTCAGAAGCAGACATACCAAAAGCACAGCTAAAACTTAACACAGCAAGTTCTAAATGGGTAGGAGCAACCTTAGGTGTCATTCATTATACTTTTCAATTTTTTTCAGAACAACCTTGGAACTGTTAAGTTTGAAAGCAATAACTTACCTCTGCAAATAATGGGGATATAATTGTAGACAGGCATTGGGATAGAGGCCTCTTTGGGATATCCTTTTCCTTTAAAGAAAAAAAAAATCTGACCAATTTTTATTTCTGGAAAAAAGCATCCTCATTGTATGCTAATAAAAGACAAAACGTAGTTCCAACATGTTACACTTTATGAAAGCTCTGTTTCCATATATGGAAAATGTTCTATAACATACTATTGCAAAGCACTGTGGAAAAAAGAGGCTGAATTAAAATTTGAGACTGCAGCACCTCAAATATACGCAAGCTCAAAACTGGAAGGGAAAAAAAATACAAGCCACAAACCAAAACTACCAAACTCCCACAGCCCTACTGAGCATTAACTAAATCATAGACATGCTGATATTTACTAGGTTCATCCCATATGATACAACATTTTTCTTATATTTCTCCAGAATTTTCAGAGCCAGCACAGCAACAACCTGCTCTGGCCACACAGAAAATACAATGGAGCAGTTCCTAAACATCCCTTATTCTGGCTTGTTTAGGTTTGGATTTTTTTTTTTTTTTGGACCCAAGTACATTCTGTTCTTTGTTACATTGAGGTCTTTTTCCTCAAAAGACCAAAATGCCTTCTCCAAAACTCCAGCCTAGATTTGCAATGTACTGGTTTTAGTTTACTATACAGAATGAGATTTTAAAAATACAATATTGCCTTCTCTTCCTCCAGTGGCTGTATTTCAAACTATAGAAATATTCTGGTATGTATTTTGTCATCTACAAAAAAGGACACATTAACAGAATGCCCAAAATTTAAGACTTACTCAGAAAGTTTTGTGAAAGACAACTGTAGAAAGCACATTTTCAGCAAAAGTTCTGGAAGTTTCATAATATAAATGCTTTTAAAGGCATAAATTATTGCTAAATTATTCAAGCAGAATTATTTCCTTGTATTATGAAGTCAATATTTTGATCACCTTATTTCTTTGCAACTCCAAAGACTGGGCTGCTCCATTCTCTAGATTCTTGGGGTCTTTTTCTCTTATTGTAAAGATCCACTCTTCTGAGTCACACCCACCTGAAGCCTGACCATCTGCTTCACTTCAAGCAAAAGGAAAAAAAAAAAAAAGAAAATCAATTTTTATTACCTACACTTTACTATTGATGTTCATTCAATATACACACTAAATATAAAAACTCAATGAAGACCAAGATGAGGATTCTACTGAGCAGGCCACTACATATAAAGACAAGTATGAAAATTAAGGTAACTTATCTTTCGGTTAAATGAAAAAATTTAAGCCAAGATACTTCACCAAATGTAGGAAGTGAGGCTTTACATATTGAAAACATTTTCCCAAGTCTCATGAAGTGTTTTATTGCTATCTGAAAACTGGCTTTAGCAGAGTACCTCAACTCATTAGGGAAAGGGGATGAAATTAGAAAACTAAATTCACTTTTCTTGCCAAGAAAAATAGCTAAGGCACTGGAACTGTGGTCACTGGAAGGCATGAAGCCATTAATACTGTCAAGAAATATACAGCTGTAATGTCACCCAAGAAATAATCTGATGCTTGCCATTAGCACGCAGCCTGGGATTGCAGAGTAGTTGTGTTTTCTTTACTATGAGGTATTTAATCCATTTGTGAATAATCTCTTCACTTGAATCTCATTTGCACAGTGTTACTTGGCTGGGTGGCTTGAGACTTTCTGTCTGCAGAACAGTTAGCCTCATATCTAGGAAGAACCCTGGACCCCACATAAAACAGAAGGTAGCACAGAATATGGGTCAGAAGAGTTTTTCTTAGTGGCTGTTACTTGCATGAAATCCCTGGCAATACTAAAATTGAGAATGCATTCATTTACCAAGGCCACTAAGCTGAAAAGCTGCAAATAACTGAATACAGGAATACATGTGCTAAAAATAACTCCTTGGCACCTCACAAAGGATATTTTATCGTCTCCTCAAACTTACGTATCCGAGTCATCAGAACTGGAGTCGTCATGACTTTGCTCAGACTTCCATCTCTTATGCCTGTCAATGAGGTCAGCCAAGTAAGATGTTTTCTTGGAGTTTCGTAAAATGAATTTGTGTTTTAAAAGCTCTTTTGCAGTAGGTCTCTTAAAAGAAAAAAAGAGAGAGTTGGGGTTTTTTTCACCATGTTTAAGTGTTGAGTGACTCACTATAAAACCAAAAAAATTCAGAGTTTAGTCTTGAAACAAATGAGATTGTAAATATATAAAGTATATAAAAATATACCTGTCACTTATGTCACACCATATTAGAGAAGCTGAATGACACTTACTCATGCAATTGATGTAAAGCAGTCAAGTTCTCTACTACACACTGACAAACATGAAACTCACAAAGCTTGGGTCCTTGTTTAAGCAGGCCTCGACAAATTCTTTGAGGGATTTACTGAAGTTTCCTTCCAGTGTTGGTGGATTGTTCTTAGGAATGAGGAACAAAACTTTCATTGGATGTAATTCTGAATGAGGTGGCTCTCCTTTTGCAAGTTCTATGGCTGTTATGCCTAATGACCAGATATCTGCCTGTAAGAAAGAATGCTTTTAAGATTAGGTTGGAGAAAGAAAAGAAAAGAAAAAAGTGTTCGCTTGCTGATCTAGTTTAACCAGCAAAACACATCTGCTTGCTCACAACGTCCCCTTGTGGAATGGGGGAGGAAGAGAATTTGAAGGGCAATGGGAGAAAGCTTGTGGGTTACGAACAGTTTAATAATTGAAATAAAATAACAATAATAATAAATTATAATGGAAAAGAAAATAACGAAGAGAGAGAAGTAAAACCCAAAAAAAGAAAGTGATGTAAGTGGAAACAGCTGCTCACCACCAACAGAAAGATGCTCAGCCAGTCCCTGAGCAGCAGGGATTTCCCCCAGGTTTTATTGCTGAGCATGAGGCCATACAGAGTGGAATATCCCTCTGGTCAGCTGGGATCAGCTGTCCTGGATGAGTCCCCTCCCAGCACCCCCTTTCACTGGTGGATGAAAAGCGGGAGAGGCCTTGACTCTGTGCAAGCTCTGCTCAGCAATCAGGAAAACATCCCTGAGTTATCAACACTTGCAGCACAAATCCAAAACACAGCCACGTACCAGCTACTGCAAAGAAAATTAATTTTACCCCAGTCACAACCATCACATTTCTAAAGGTAGATTTTTTTTCAGCTTTACTGTAAATAACTTCATGTGTAAAATCATTTTGTTACCATTGTTTTATGTGATTAGCCCCATAGCTGAAGTAAACAGAGTTTCTTGGTTGTCTCCACTCTTCAGTATAAAACAGTTACACTAAGTAGACTTTAAATTTTTTTGAAATAAATACTACTACACCAAAAAGCAATGTCAGAGCCATTATAAACTAGCATTTTATCTACCATATACAAGAACACTATGCAAATATGGGGTAAGTATAAAATATTTACATAAAGTAAAATGTTTTAACTTGCATAAGACTTCTCCTCAAAATATATTAGCTAGTACAACCATCAGAAACTTAGTACATCAGAATATAACTTCCCTGGAGTTTAACACTGGTTTTATATATAATTCTTATTCACAGACTAGAGAAATGCAGCCTTGAACAGTAATATTCAGCTTTTTGGTCCAAGTAGCCCTTAAAAGTTTTCATCATCAAAATGTACTACTCTTTCTAGGGAATTCTGTCTCCCTTGATAAAAAATCCTCCCTTGATAAAATCCTATTGCAAATCTGCCTGAAGTAATGTGAAGCAATGCATTATAATTCTCTTATGTTTTGCTGAAATCACGGACCCAAAAGCCAAGAGAATGGATAATAAACCTTTCAAGGTAAAAATAAAAAATATCACAGAAATGTCTGTTCCAAGGACAAGATACCAATTAAAAATATTTATGTTTGGTTTCTTCCTGTTTCTTTTTAAGTGAAAGCAGAACAAATACTTATTCTCAGGGAAACAGGAAAGATATGACATGAGCTGTCTAGTTTTACTCCCAAACAGAGCAGCTGGAATTTTGCTATGCTGTAGAGATCTGTTTCCAGGTACTGGATAGAGCAGAGATGTCATTTATCACTGCTGTCTTTACTAAGTACCCCTCAACCCCACCTGTGTCAGCCCCGTGGATTCTCATGGTTATCTTTGACTGACTTGCACACATTCATTGCACTATCACAGCCACAGTGCCTGTCCCAAAACAAGCTCCTCCTTCCTTATTCAGACAGTATCCTACTGTTAAGAGCTTAGTTACTTAATTTTGCAAGTAAGAATGTAAAAAAAAAATCTGTCAGTCAGCATACCATTGAATTTATGAAATTCCATTTTGTTAGGCCATGTTACAGAATAGTTCCTGACCACAAAGAATTACATAAGCACATGAGCCCCGAGTTTCATTTATCTTAATAAGAGCATTATCAGCTAAGCTCTCCACAAGCCTAATTATAAGTAACTTCCCTCTACCAGGAAAGCTTTTCTTGGTTATAAAAGAAAAATGTCATCTGTGAAGATGAATCTTCATGTTAACAACTGAGTGTTATTATTTCCAATTTATTCAGAATTTCAGTTTCTCAAGAGTGTAAGTGTTAAAGCCACATAAATGGATAGTTTTCCTCTGCCAGAATTTCAGTCACAGGTGGAGCATGTTTATATACAAATATAAACATCAAATTTACATGTGTATGAGTGCATAGATATCCACCTGCATACACATATATGTATATAAATACTTCCTTTTCTCTTCATGTATTTGTAACTCTACTGCTAGAGACCTTCCTCTACAAAAATGAACAAATAAGTACAACAAACCATGGTTGCATACTTAGAATCTTTGAAGTCCAAGACGGGTTTTGGAAACCCATGCCTGTTGAAAACATCAAAAATAACTCACCCTATATTCCTCTGGAACCATATCCTCCCCTTTCACAGATAAGAAAGGAAGTAGGCATTTCTAGGAAGGACTTGACTGTGACAATGAAACCACAGAACAACCACAAATAATTCTCCCAATGGAGAGGGATAAGCATGACTTCGGGACGTGGTGACAGTCCAGTATCATTAAGTTTTATCACATGCTGTGATTTTTAGAGTTTCAGCTCTTGAACAAAAATTCTTCTTGTTCAGACGACAGTTGGCAAGTCACTGATAACTACTATTTACTGCAATACTGCCATAAGCCTTTCCTCCTAATCTAATGTGTAAAATTCAGTCCAGCTTGTAAGTCAAAGAAAACAGGCTATGTCCAAGAGAAAGACACTTTGACACTTTCAAATTAAATATCTATTTTTTACACTACAAGTTTTTTAGTAAAAAGAACAGAACATATATGAAAAATGAAGCATGTTAAGAAAACATGTTTTCAGGTAAGACAGGAATCAAAACAGGAAGCAGAAGCACTGCCAAAAACTAGAGCCCTTTCAAGCTTTTATTGGGAATCCCTCATCAAGTATCCAAGACTCTTATGCCCATGTGAAATTGCAGACTGAAACAGCGAGAATGCAAAATGCAAAGGCTGAAATCACACTTTGTCCAAGTGATGATCATTCCCAGGAGCCAAACCTCAAAAAAACCAAAAAAGCACAACCACGACCAACCAAAACCAAAACAAATAAACTAACTAAAAATCCCCCACAAAAACACACAAAGGAAAAAAACAATAACCATAATTTCAAAAAAGTTTACTCAACTTTAAATTGGGATTTTAGGATCATTAAAGCTTCTACAGTGTTTTGCTTCTTATAGTCTCTGTACAGAAAGATATCAAATAGGGAATTAAGCAATTGTACAGCCTACACCAGAGTCAGCCTTGGCAAGTGGAAAGAAACATCCCAACCTGTCCCATTGCATGGAGATATTGCCAATTGACAAATCCCTACAGGGAAATCAGAGGAAATGGGCAAGGAAGATGAGCTCAGGGAAGAACATAAGGAAATACTGCTAATTATAATAAAGAAGGCCGATTTTAGCAGAAATTAGGCTTGAGGGTGACCTTTATTTCAGACCTACAGCTGCAGCAGTGGGCTGGGCAAAGAGCCTTTCCTCATAACATGGGTGTCCTGCTGAGCTAGCCAGGCCACATGGGGCAGGGAGAAGGCAGGGGCAGCAGAGAGCTGTATATGTACCTCAAACAAACAGAAGCATAAAGAACAAGTAACCAACACCATGAACTTTGAAAAAAGCAATAGGCTTGAGCTGACTTTAACTGGCATATTCCTTCCCGGTAAGTAGGGACATGCAGTGCCATACTGGTGAGAATACAGAGAACAGTAATGGAATCACATGTATTACAATTATGTATTACAATACAACTATGTATTACAATTTATATATTGTGCTTGTCTTGAGATTTCAGTATGCTGGTGTGCTATTCTGCCTGATCAAAATTCTGTATAAAGCTAAATTTGATATTTAATATTAACACCTCCCGAATGGCAAATCTGAAAGAACACAGACCAGCACATTCTGCCAGAAATGAGTAACAGCCCTTTCAAACACCACTTTCACATTCACCAAATCCATATTCTTCAACTGTGTTGCTGGCTATTTTTTTTCTAAAAACAAGAGGAAGAATATTAACATTTTGAACATATTTGCACTCTTCTACTTTTTCTAAATATCTCCACTCTTCTACTTTTAAACAGCCAAAAATACTCATCATTATAGTAGGAAAAAAGGTGATGGGATGCACTCATGAATACTGTATCATTTCTTGCCACATGGATTGTCTTAATAAACTAGGAAACTTAAAACTTTGGATACAAATTAGGAAATCTTTCCTCACCAACAGCTTTTAGCTGCTAGGTGTCACCTGAACACATCCTCATGTAGACACAAAGTTATTAGCTGCGTTCTGAAAACCAACCTATGTAATTCAATTTAGAAAAAGGGACTTCAGTAATGCCTTGAAGTACCTTACCTTTGAATCATATGCTGATTGCTTTATTACTTCAGGTGCCATCCAAAATGGTGTTCCCACAAAGGTATTCCTCTTTATCTGTGTATCTGTCAGCTGTCCAGCTACTCCAAAATCTGCCAGTTTTACTTCCCCTTGTTCAGACAGCAATACATTAGCAGCTGGAATAAAGAAGAAGAAATACCAGAAATGAAGATATTTGACACCATTTGATGGTGTTCTTACAGGTTTGCATGAGTTCTTCTGATATTCTTTCATCACAAATAATAAAACAATTTACCTTTAATATCTCTGTGGATTTTCTTCTCTGAATGCAAGTAATCAAGTCCTTTGAGTATCTCCCTTAATATTGTAGCAATCTGAGTTTCATCAAGCGAGCCAGGCTCTAACTAGGAGATGTAAGAAATGTTTAAATATGTATAAAGAATGGACAGAAAACAGAAATAACATTGTGACTAAAAAGAAATTACTCCTTCTGTCAGCCATCAAAACTTCCAATTTTATAACTTCATAATGTGAGACAAAACAGAATATTCTTTTTTTAAAACACACAGTTCTAAACTAAACAGCTTAATGAACAACAGGCAAAGAAATTATTTGTAAAATTTATTAAAGGTGCTACAAAGACAGAGCCTCGAGTTACTGCTTTGTGGTCAGGTAATAGATATGCTATGCCGTTGAAAAGCATAGCATATCTGATTGTTAACATTACACTGAACTTAGATGTGCAACTCCACAGACCCTATGTGGACCCAAATCTCAAAGCCTGAGCAAGATGCCAAGACATTCAAGGTACAACATCCATCAGTCTATGACAATATACTGCAGTGTATTTTGAGTAACTCGCTAAAACTCAACTCAGACTGACAGGCTGAGAGAACATTACATATTTTAAAACATTAACTTTTTTCAAGTAATACTGGAAATATAAATCTGCTATTTGTTAAAAGATTCCAAGTATTTCTTCTTATGAGAAGAATTAGTAGTGTTATATGATCCCAAAGATCTTTACATGTGATATGAATTCTGAAAGTGAGAATAACAGAGGAGAGGCCACTACCCAGAGACTCCTTAAACAATAAGGGCATCTCCAGAGAGACACTGAAACTTTGTGTCCAACAGTTAATATTGGAAATATTCCACTATCTAGTTTACCCCACAACAGCACTCACTGAAGCACAATCAAAAAGTTGTACCTCTAAAGCTTAATTCTGTGAGAAGGAAAGCATTTCAGATAAGGATTTTCAGATAAAAATAGTACATCGCTCAGAAATCCTCATGCATAGCAACAGAGGTAATATTTTCTGTAACAATGCATTTGCTTTATCTTTGCAGCTTTAGTTATAATCTCATTTGCTTTTCCTTAGCTCTGATAATACACAAAATATTACCACTACCTGAAACCCACTAAGACATTCTCAAAGCTTCACTCCAGCCAGGCTGCAAGCACCAGTTTGAGACTTGGTAACATGACACAACACATCTAATGGGGGCAAACCTCTTATGTCAGATTCAGCTCACCTTAGTGAGGAGGAATTACTGAAACAGAATAAATCTGAGAAGACTGGCACTTGTACCTCGGTCACAAACTCGGACTACACTCAAAGTTTGACCAAAAATGTACATGCAGTTGCATTATTGTACTTTTTCTTGTGAGGCAGGATTTTGAAATCATCCAGTGCATATTCAAGTACAGAAAACACCAAGCTAGAATGACATGTCTGCACTATGAACATGGAATTCAACGATCTTGGTAATCCTTGCCTCAAATATGAAAACGTGGCAAAGCTTGCCAGGTTCTAGTTGAGAACCATTATGTACATGTTAGAACTAGGAGAACAGGCACCAGAACATAAATTGAAACTTAATGAAGCACAAAAAAGGTGCTCAATAGACACTTACAGGATGATTTCAGTTCTGGTGTGAAATATCTTCAATAACATTTTAAGAAGTGGACAAGTACTTTCTACTATTTCTAGGCAACAAACTTAGAGAATAAACATATAGTCATCACACAAGTGAAATTTGTGTGATGAAAAAAAAAAAAACCAAGAAAATATGGTAGCATGTGTTTTCAGTCTGCTCTTTTATACCTATACAAAGAAAATAATAGCTGATTTATAAAAGAAAACCCGATTACTAATTGCTCTTCTGTCACGAAGAAAAAAAGTGATTCACAACAATAAATTTTCTATCATATCTTTACAGGGAACATCATGAATTTTTACACAACCCCAAAACTCCTAAGAGATGTGGAAGCTAAAAGTATAACTGGGTTCAAAAATACACAACTGCAGGAAGCCCACATTTAAGACCCACTCCTATCTTCTGGATATCACCATCAGAATCCCTTTACAGTCACCTTGTTCCTTTTGCTCTTTCCTCAAGCATTTATCAGTTATTCCATTGGACAACTGCAAACTCTGCTACAAAGACATTCTGCCTCAATTTGGATAACAATTTTCACATACTTAAAACATGCATTATTATTCCCATAATAGTGCTTTTTTAAATAAGAAGTTGTGTCATTTGAGAGGGGACTGGGTTGCTTTTTAATAGCTGAAGTGAATGTCAGAATCCAGTTATAGAAAACATGATTCACACTGTACCCTTTGAATTCCCATTCAAACCTGGGTTTTCAAACTCCATCCCAGGTGCAGAACAAGGTACTTCTCCTGTTAAATTTCATACCCTTGGTGACTTCACAGCCCTTTGGTCTATCCAGGGCTTCCTGCAAGGCCTCTTTACCCTCCATGGAGTCCAGAGCTTCTTCTATTTCTTTGAAATACTATTTTTAAAACCAGCCTAAATTGTATTTCTGTCTGTTTAGGCTTCAGAAAGACTTCAAACAGGGAACCTTTTGTTTATTTGTTTGGGGGAGGGGGCAGTGGGGAAAATACATTAAAATGTATAAACTTGTATAAGAGTTGTGGTGGCAGAACTAAGAGATAAAAAAAAAAAACTATTTTCAGGCACTAGTGCACTCTGGCTGACTGAAGATTAGCATTCTAAGATGTTTATATCCTGCTTCCAATATTATGTTGCTTATTTCCCTTCTATTTACACAAATAATCAGTCATGCCTCATGAAAAATTAACATTTTTCTGGCATTGACAAATACTTTTATCCTTTCCTGAAAGTGAATGTTGCCACAGCCAAGTGATCTATTATAGTTTCCAGAATTATAAGATAGGAATATAATTATGTGAAGTAAAGTAACAAAACATGCATAATTTACTTACTAGATCAAGGGCAGAGCCCCCACCCAGATATTCCATTATTATCCATAATTTTGTATCCTGCAAAACAAAAAACAAAAAAAATGTATTAAGGTTAAAAAAAAAAAAAAAGAAAAAAGTAGTAACTTGAGTTAATGGGATTTGTTCCATTCTTTTTGCTGAAGAAATTATCTGTAGTTTTGAAACACCACTAACATTTAGCTGTTAAGAGATACTCAAAAGTATCTTTGGATTATCTACTCAAGAGTGTGTGCATGGAGGAGAATGCATTTTCATTTTAAAATTCCAATTAAGGACATTCCAAATATCAAATAGTGCTACATATAACATATTACCTTTGAAAATATAATCTCTATTTTGTTGAACATCATTATTTGTACAGATACCTCAAAATATTTTCTTTAGTAAGCTTGACTCCTGTCCAGTTTAAATAGAGCTTATTCTTAATTTTTCTGCATTGCTTCATTTTCTTGAACAGTGAAGTAGGTCTTCTCCACTAATGCTTATGCATCTGATATATGGTATAGAATTTTAGAATTTTGCACAGTTGTGTTCAAGAAAGAAGAAGCAAAGTAGTAATGAAGATTGTTTAAGATGACTATAGCAACTTACTAGCTTCAGCTAGTAAAAGAAAAGCTAACAACAACACCAAGCTATGCTGTTCCTAAAGAAAACCTTGGTACATGTTACAGGATTGTTTAACACAAGATATACAATGCAATATGCTAAGAAAGAGACTGGAGCCAATAAATTTCTTTCCACTTTTTGCAGCATCTTTTTCCCAAATACACTAAGAGAGGCAGTTAGTTCAGCTTTTCCTTGCAGTACCAGTCTTAATACACACAACAAAGCAAAGCCACAAATCTACTACGTAGGTACTCAAATGGCATTGCTGCACAAGACACACTTGTGGTTTAGTTTTTTATGATTATCAAGTTATTTTATGCTTTGTTAGCTTCACCTCTATGGTATGTACCAAACTTTCACAAGACCTCTAGTATAATAATATAGCTATCTCTCAGAGCAAAGAGCACATAAGTAGCAACAATATTAATTTATTTTGTCTGACAGAATAAAACTTCATGTAAAAATAACGGCTCACAGCCAGGGCATCTGACTCTGAATTCTCATCTATAAGGATGGATTCAAGTTTTTAGAGAAGTGGTAAATGTATTGCAGGACACAACTTCATCTAAATCCTCAGAGAGATTAAATTTTTAGCCCTTAGGACTAACTTAAGTCTTTTAGTCATTATTATATCCATAGTTCACTGCATCCACCCCCTCTCTGGAATCCTGCTGTAGGTAAATGTGCATTTTTCCTACCTCCAGTTACACACACCATACTATTTTTAGATAAGATCCTGGATTAGGGTTCCTTCATCATCCACTATTTTTAACACAGAGACTCAGCTAAATTTAGATACCTTTCTTCAGGAATCAACTCATGCTATTTGACAAACACAGTCTTGTTAAAAATATTTTAAGAGAGCCAGAACACAGATTTTAGGAAGAAAGAGTATTTAAAAAATATAATCTATCTCAGTACTGACAGACAACATCCTGATAGTGCTTACTTTCTTGCAGACACCACAAACATTCCAAGAACTGCAACTCATCTTGACAGTATCTCTCACAGTACTGAAATACTTGTTTTTCTGCTACAACTTTTATGTTTTTCCTGTCCCTTTGAGGCTCTAGGACCTAGCAGTTCCAGAACAAGAACATTACTGAGATGTGTCTTATAGTGAGTCATCCTAAACTTGATCAAAAATTTATATTTATATTTTGCTGATAAAATGTGTTTTAAAGCTACATGAAATTTCCTGAATATTCAAAACTCGCACTTCATTTTAATAGTAACTTAAACACAAATATGTCAACTGCATCACTACTTCCTAGCTCCCTGGAAATGCCTGGTTGGGAAAGAAGGAAGCAAACAAACCTCTTGACCTTTTGAAGAACAGTGAAGAAAAGAAGTGAAAAAAAAAAAAAACAAAAGGGAAAACCCCCAAATATCCACAACACCTCACACAGAAGTCAACAAGTGATGGGTCTTCCCTTTCCTATTATCTCAAGCATTTAAAGAGTTAACAACTCAAAATAAGATCTCATTTCCCAAAAGAGAAACCTTCTAGAACACTAGGTGCCAAATTCTCCAGCTGAAAACTAGAAATTAGAGGTAGAAAATAACAAAAATGTTTAAGAATATAATTTTAATTACATAGTTTTCTTTTTAAACCATCATTTATAATTTTAATTATTTTTCTAGTTCAATTAGTCTTTGCTCCTGAAACTTTCATCATCAGCTGCCTGAGGCCACATGTCTGAATTTACAATACAAAAGCCATTGATCCAGTAAATTCAGTAATTCTACATTTTAAAACAAATGAAGAATGGAAATACAGCTGAGAAACACACACACACAACTGTATCTGTATCCCAGTGTAAAGATAAGTAATAACAATCTATTACAATTATGGCACCTTTTTATCTGGATCCCTCTATTAAAATTTATTTTTAATTCTCTATGGCTCCCCCTTCCCTCAAAAACATTACTCAACTTCATCAGTGGTTTTGAGTTTTTATTTTTGAAGCTTCTATCATTCATATGAAGTACCTGAATAGATTCATATGTTGTACTCAAATAAATTTAATTACTATGGTAGCAAATCTTATTACCTCTTACCTTTCCCTAACTCTTTCTGATTTCTATTTGAGCTTTCTTACATGAGATCAGTATATATTGCTTAACAAGAAGATACAAATAAATCCTTCTGGCAAGACAGCTGAAAGAATTTCTCAGTATGTATTTCATCTTAAAGCAAACAACCTATATATAGTGACTTTACATCTGTGGGTGCTTGGATGCCTGATATCTCCCAAAAGCACTCTGTCATTCCCTTTCTCACCTGGATATGGGAGAGAGACTATAGCAAAGGCTCACGGGGTGAGGTAAGGACAGGGAGAGAACAATCTCCCGTTGCCCTCATGGGCAAAGCAGACTAAAACTGGGGACATCAGTTTATTACTAGTCAAATCAGAGTAGTATAATAAAAAATAAAACCAAATATTATAACTCATTCCCAATGGCCCCTTCTCCATGGGCTTAAATTTTACTTCCAAATTTCTTCATCTCCTCTCTCCAGTGGAACTGGGGAATGGGAAATGGGGATCATGGTCAGTTCATCACATCTGCCACTCCGTCCTCCTCAGAGGGAGGGATCCTCACACTCCTACCCTGTTCCCACAGGAATACCATCCTCCATGGACTCTCCAACGTGAGTCCTTCCCACTGGCTGCACTTTTTCATTAATTGCTCTAGTGTGGGTCCCTTCCATGGGGTTCAGTCCTTGGGGAATAGCCTGTGGGTTCCAGAGTGAGCTAATCTCTCCCTAAGGCCAGGAGCCTGCTCCAGTGTGAGCTTCCCACAGGATCCCAGTCTCATTCAGGCACACCCACCCGTGTGGTGGGTCTCCCCCACCAGCTGCAGGTGGATCTCTGTGGTCCCATGGAACCTCCATGGGCTGCAGGGCCACAGCTGCCACACCATGGGCTACACCAGGGGCTGCAGAGGAATCTCAGCTGCAGCATTTGGAGCACCTCCCCCCCCACCCCTTCTCCACTGACCTTGGTGTTTGCTGTTCCTCTCACTTATTCTCACTCCTCTCCCCAGCTGCAGCTGTACAGGTTTTTTCCTCCCTTCTTAAATCTGTTCCCCAAAAGGCACTGCCACAGTCACTTGCAGGCTCAGCCTGGGCCAGCAGCACATCCACCCTGAAGCCAGCTGGCACTGGCTCTATAGGACCCAGGGAAAGCTTCCAGCAGCTTCTCACACAAGCTGCCCTTGTGGCCCCCCGCAACCAAACCTGGCCATGCAAACCAGAGATAATGCCTTGTAACAACAGCACAAGGCCAGCACAGAGCTACTATCAATTGACTTTGGCATCACCATAGCAACGGGCCTCCTTCTTTCCTTCTTTTCTGAGCGTCTCTGGCATGCCTCACATTCCCCAACACCTACTGTCACTTTCCTTTTTAAAGCTGCCCAAATTCTTTTTTTTTGCTTGAACTTCTCACCCTTTTCAGTATATATTTCCCTTTTGCTCTCAAACAGAATTCCAAATGCACTACATTTTCTTCCACAGCCTAGATTAGTAATAATATATTATGCATAATCACTTATACTTTTAAGAGATACTACATTTATATACTGACACTAGCAACATTCAGTGCTCCACTTAAAGACCTGAAACAGGAACAGTTTTCTTCTTCTAAGCATCAGCCACAACACAGCATTGAATTTTCTTCAAAATACAGTGAAGCCATGATGAGTCATCCATCCAAATTTAGGATTATTATTTCTCTATAAACTTAGATGTACAGATTAATGAGGGCACATGGAATATTTCCCTTTTTGCAGCAAGAACAATGGGTTTTCCTCGGATACTATGAAACTGAAGAAAGGAACAGCTTTGGAATCTTCAAGAAATTCTGTTAAGAGTTTCTGTAGATCCTTTTGAAACTATGGCTGCTCTTCTTGAGCTCTGACCTCTGATTTTAACTCCAGAACCACTAAAAAACTTACAATAGCAACTTTACCTCTGATGAAGTTTCCTTCATCAGGCTACTTCTATACCATGAAAGTACTTGCAAAATAAGTGCAGATACAGGAGGTAAAGTATTTCTAGTACATAAAAATTGAAGACTGTACACCAGAGAAAAAAGAGGACCATCCACCAAAAAACTTGTATATAATCTCAAAGGTACATTTTAACTGAATCCTGAAGAGGACAGAAGACTTACAGAAACGAGTAATCAAGAGTAACATGTTTGTTTGTAAGTTCTTACAAAGTTAAAAAAAAAATCTAAATAAACATGGGAGAGGCCTACCTTCAGAGATGCTTCCTATTTCTTTGAGGTGAAGAACATACACATTTCTTACACAATGATATTCTACAGGAGAGACCAAGCTAAAGCAATCAAAACAAGTATGTACTGATGAAATTTTTTCTACATCTCCTTTCTTGTGGGAAGGAGAGACTGCAGAGGCAAACCTAA